ACTAATTTTTTTAATTAAAAAAAAAAAGGCTGTCACCTCTCTGATAGCTTAAGCTAGATGGTGGTGAACTTAGAAAACAGGGAAGTGACAGCACTGAGAAAAAAAAACAATAAAAAAGGAAATCAATTTTGGGGCTTATTATTAGTAGATAAAATTGAGATTGCAGTACACAGCCCATGAGGCTACTTAGTGTCAAAGGCCCATAATGTCACATGTTGATTCTACTAAGAGAATATAGCTTTATGGATTTATTACATCTTGTCTCTGAATCAGAAGTGCAATGGAGACTGTAAACAGGACCAAGGCAGAGGATGCTTAGTGAGTAGTGAGAAAAATAGAGCATGATGGACAGGGAAGAATGACAGAAATGTGAATAATTGAAGACATTACATCACTTCCATAAAAGCCACACTAACAATTAGAAACATTCAGTGATCCATCTACTGCACAAGGAATTAATCCTTCAGGGCAGCAACTGTGGTAAGAGTCACAAACTCCTTTTCTAGGAAAGTATGGAGGGATACCAACAGAGCAGAGCTGCAAGACCAGCTGGAAATCACTGCCATCTGAATGCCCTGAAGTCAGCTTCAGGAGATCCCAGCCTTCAGCAGGGGTTCTAAAAGAGGTGATCCTTTCACAAAAGGAGACTTGCCTACCTAGTCAAACTGAGGAATTTTTTCAACTGGAGCAAAAATAAGTGCAGGAAAGAAGGTAGGGGAGCATAAAGGGTAGTCTCCATGTAACATCACTATTGTATTAACTGACACCAGAATTTTTAATTTTTTTAAATTTTACTCTAATTTCTATCAGCACAAATACACTTAAAAATAATTATAAGCAAATATTCTAATTTTACTTGGAAATTAAAATGTTTATCTTACTATCTTCGAGTACATGTAAATGTACTACTATGTTAGATGACATTGTCAATCAATCAATAAGCATTTATTAAGCCCCTACTATTTGCCAGGCACTGTGCTAAGCACTGGGGATACAAAATGAGACCAAAGATATCTCTGGGGGCAGCTAGATGGCACAGTCGATAGAGCTCCGGCCTTGGAGTCAGGAGGACTTACATTCAAATCCGGCCTCAGACAATTGACACTTACTAGCTGTGTGACCCTGGGCAAGACACTTAACCCCACTGCCTCACCAACAAAAAACAACAACAACAACAAAAAAAGATAATTCCTGCTCTCAAGGAGTTTACAATCTAATGGGGGAGACAACATACAATCAAATAAATACAAAGTAACCTATATACACAGCCTGGTCCTTAGAGGTATTCTTAAACACCAGTCCTTCTAGTATTCTAGTCCAGTCCTAGTTCTTCAAAAATAAGACATTAGAATAAGAGTTCTTAACCTGGGGTCAAGTTGAGTTTTTTAAATTTTGATATTAATATTTAGTATTTTAATATAATTAATTTCCTCATAATTGTTTTATTTTATGCATATAAAAACATTCTGAGAACAGGTCCACAGACTTCACCGGGCTACCAAGGGGTCCAGGACATAAAAAAGGTTAAAACTCCCTGTTTAGAGGAAGTATGGGGGTGGTTCCAAAAAAATGTTTCTAAATTTATTTTTTTATATGCATTTACAATCTGTCCCTCTCAGTACCCTCTCATCCTACTGAACCAAAACAACAACAATCACAACAAAAAATCCTTTACCATAAGCATGCCTAATCTAGCAAAATAAATTTCCCACACTGACCATGCTTGAAAATGCATATCTTTTACTGCACTTCAAGATCATCATTTCACTACCGGGAGATAAGTGGTGTGTGTGTGTGTGTGTGTGTGTGTGTGTGTGTGTGTATGTGTGTGCGCGCGCGCGCGTGTTTGTGTGTGTGTGTATACACATATGTGTATATATATACAAATACACATGTATACATATACACACATATATTATGCACATATATATATACAGATACAGTTTTTTATATATATATGTATATGTATATCCTCTTCAGTTTTCTAGACTCATGATTTAATATTGCAATGACCAGAGTTCTAGTCTTTAAAAGTTGTTTTCAAAGAAACAATGTTAAAAGTAAGTTTCAAAGTTATGGAGTAGGTTTGGATAGCAAGTCATTAATAATCATACTGTAAATGATGTTGACCAAAGCTTGGTTGCAAAGAAGAGATATGAGAAAATACTTCCTCCCACTTCTTTAGAGAGAGACTATGAGTGTGGAATACTGAATAGAATTCTTTCTATTTTCCATGTGCTGAACTGTTTTATTTATTCTTTTTTATTCATTGTAAGAGATGGCTCTCTTGGGGCAGTGGGGAAAGTTTGAGGGATATGTTAGAAAATGTAGATGACATATACTAGGAAATTTAAGGGATGTAAAAGCAAAAGACAATAAAAATTAATTTTTGGCCAGAACAACCATGGAGGATATGACTGTATGTTGGCACTGTCATCAATAAAAGTACCAAATGTTTAAATTTTAGTAGCTTCTCTCATCTTTTGAAATTTTCTACTTTACTAAGTAATTATATCAAGACACATCCTTAAGCAGCAGTAGTAAGTAGTAATAAAATTTGTAAATACTGTAGAGCTGTCCAATCACTTCAGTGCTGTGAAGGATAACACATACTTCAACAAATAAACACTTTTAGAAAGCCTAATAAAATCTACATGACACAGCGTTCCACTGCCCCCCCACCCAAAATACACACATTAGATTAGCTAAATGTAATGATATTATCACCATAGTCGAGACAATTCTGTGTTCAATTTCACAATATCCTAGTCTCCGTTTTGGTTTCAGGACCTTTTGCTCTTTAGTTCTTATATTTCATAAGTTCTTTAGGCTACAATCTGAAATTTGAATATACAGTATTTGCTAAGTGAAGAGAAAAACATTTAACCTATATCATTTGCACTAAAAAGGCGTGAGTTTTACCATTACACAAGTTAAACAGACTCTATTTTAAATTCCATTAGGTTCAGAAGGGCTCTTCACAATATAGTTGGTCATTTGCTACCATTAAAATGTCAACCTGTTGTTGGGATTTTGCATAATATACTTCCTAGGCACTGGCTTATTCCCCCATTTTCTACCCTTCTGCATAATAAGATGGACAACATCACCAAGCATGAACAGAATTCTTCAAAACCGAGGCAATCAACTAATCTATAGCTGAGCAAGGTTAATGTGCCATTTAAATAAGAAAGATGTGGTATTTCAAAGACAGTCAAAGTTAACATGAAATGAAGAAAAAAAAAGATATTGAAGGAAAAATCTGAATCCACCAAACCTGAAGAGCTTAATAAATAATAAATCAAAATGAATCGGAAGTAAATGTCAGCAAATTGACATTAGCATAATATTCAGAATCACAATTAATTAATCAAGGGAAAGGCAGATTATAAAGTCTACTGTTCTACCTTTTAAGGTATCAAGCTTAGCTAAAGGATGATATAAAATACAGAACTAGTGCCCAGTTCATTGTCTACATCTTCCCCAAACCTTCCATTCTGACTTAGAGTTGACCATTCCTTTAACATCATGCTCCACAGTGTCTCTGCACTGTTAAAATATAATTTATTATGTCTGTGTGTGTTTTGGTAATAAAGAGACGATGCCTGGGTCAATCAGAAGAGACGAAAATAGTGTGATGTCTGTGATACCAATTAGTGTAAAATTTCCAGGTTTCTAATTTTGGGGGATAAATATATGTTTTTTTTTCTTTTTTTCTAACACGCATTCTTTATTCAGCATGCATTAATCATCTTATTTTCTTCCTTGGTGAGTCCAAGCAAGGTCAGTTTTTTAATGCTTCAGCACTAAAAGTACTTTATTCAGACTAAGATTTCCAGGACCTTTTCCTTTCCCTTCACAACAAAGTCTCTTTAATGGCAGCCAATTTGCAAACATCAGATGTAAGATTACAGCTTCAGTAAAACAAGGAGAAAGAAATTAAAGTTCACTTCAAGTATTTATGTTGGCATAGACTGAACAGAACGATTTATGAAGAAACTGACACCAAGGGCTCCATTCTGCCATCACTCATGTGCTGCGTGCACCAGATTTTCACATTACTTTAATCAAGAAGCAGACATAATGAGTCTATCATTTAAAGTATGCAAATTCATTATTCCTCCTTTGTGGAAGTTTGACATCTTGGCTCATGTCACACATTCACAAACCAAGTATGCATTCTACTAAGAGGACAAAGAACAAAGAACCTAGAATAAGTTGACTGTTTAAGTTATACCATCTTTCTCTTCTTCAAGCAAGCAAACAGAAAAAAAGTGCCTGCTTACATTATAAGGTCACTAGGGTCAGTTTTAATAACACAAGATCTTCAATTTCCCTTCATGATACTTAAGAGAATCCCTAAAGTCTTATAAACAATTTTTCAGACTAAATATTAATAATCATCCCCAACAACTAAGCTCACAACATATTTTCTTTAAATATGTTTTTAAAACAGATATTAAAATACATCAGTGATAAACTCATTCTTCTTCTGGGACAACAGTAATAAGACTACTGCCTATAGAGATAGTGAAAATTGGAAAGTTGTCTCTTCAAACCAATTCATTCCTTAGCCCCATAAAAATAAAAAGCTCAATTCAAAACAAATATGTACACAAATACATGATCCAATTTAATTTTCAATCAGTTTTTATGTGTAAAGAATTCAATTTCTAATAAAAACTGTCTGTGTTAAATTTAATTCAGAAAAAAATCACCCATTTTTCAAATTTCTTATTTCTAAATCACAAATTTTCTTTCTTCATTATGCTTTACATTGGAAAGCTTCTCAAGAAGATGTAATGAGTAAAGTATTAAAAGTTCAATAGGAATACAAAGAAATAAATACTATTATTACCAAAAAAAAAACTTTTGAGAAATGCCTTAAAATATAAAGGACAAAACTATCATACAAAAAAATCAGTTTTCTTTCTCCCTCACAAAGCACATTAAGTACTTGTTATCTGAATGATCCTTAGCTCTGTCCTATCTTTACTTACTCTCCGATAATTCTGGATTTCCTCGAAGATTCATCATCTTTGGAATTGAAGGGCCATACACATCCACATCCAGCAAACCAATGGCCTTTGACTGAAATAGAAAAAAATTCCCTATTAAAAATTTCATAATGTAAATAAAAAATAAGATGAGTACATTTTAAACCTGACAACACAAAAGGAAAGGTATAAAATTTAAATGAATGCTCATGTTCCAACCTTTCAAAAAAAATAGAGTATTACAGAAGAACTAATATAAATGCTTTTACAAAGAATTTTTTGTTGTTGTTGTTCCTTCTAGGGAACTGCCAACACATTACTCACTGTTTTCCCATTACAGTTTATCTTTTTTCCATATATGATCCAAAATAGAAGATGGTCTGTTCCTTGTGAACCTGACTCTTTGAAGACTAAACTACAAATACACAAAGTTAAATGTCTATAATTTACAATGTATAATAACAACAAAGCTATAAGGAGAATTAGCATGAACTATTTAATTAGAAAACATTTCTAATGAACTAAAAATTTAAAAATAAAAGTATTACAAAATTTACATTGTAAACTAAGAATTGCAAAACAGTGATACAAAAACGCTGCTACTAACCATTTTTCATTTTTCACCTGACCTACTTCTTTTCCAAACACAAAGCTACTTTTTAAACTACTCTGTGGACAGATTTGGTTTCTAGAAAAGTTGTTGCAAGTTTATATGCAACAACAAAAATATAAGATAAAAATGAAAATAGCCACTTGATTTGTCTACTAAATTTATCAACAAATTCATTTCCTATAGCATACTGTACACTGAAACAGCTAAGTCAAAAGATCTCATTTCTATTCTTGGCATTGCTTCTTACTCAATACTTGACCTACAAAAAGTCACTAACTTTCCTGAGGCTATTTTCTCTTTTCTAAAACCTAATTTACTGAATATTTATTGATGCCTACTCTTGGCCCTACCAAGAGTGAGGACCCTTTGGTCCCACCCCTGCACAGTAGAAGATAACCATCTCTTCTCAATTTACAGAATACTTTGACAGTAAATGAGAAAAAAGCTGATGTATTTAGAGTAAGGGTATTGTATAAAATATAAATATACCTTTCAATATGACTATTAGGCCAAAATTTACTGAGAATGTACTACAAACAAATCATTGACCATGAATACAAGAGTAAATTACCCTCAAATTTTTTTTATTTTAATCTAGTAAAAAAAAGAATAAATATGCACAAAATATATACTATGAAATATTTGAATCAACAAACATTTATCAAGCATCTACCGGTGAAAGCCACTGTACTGAACTCTGTGAACACAAAGACAAAAAATGAAGTATTTTCTACCCTCAAGGAGCTTACTTTCCACCACAGGATACATCAATAGATAAGTATGGGGCAGGTAGGTGGCCCAGTGGATAGAGCTCCAGCCTTGGGGTTAGGAGGACCTGAATTCAAATATGACCTCAGATACTTGACACTTACTAGTTGTGTGACCCTGGGCAAGTCACTTAACCCTCCCCCCAAAAATAGATAAGTAAATATGAGGTAATCTGATGATAGTGAAAATATTAATAACTAGGGAGTTTAGGAAAGACTTCACAGATGTGGTTCCTGTTATGAGCTTTAAAAGATGTTAAGGATTCTAAGAGGCAGAAGTACAGAGAAGACGTCTGTCTAAAAGTACGGATGATGATATATTTTGTACAAATACACAGAAGCCAGATACAAACTGTCAGGGTTGAGGAATAACTAGAAGTCAGAATGATGAGAACACAAAAGTACAAAATATGAGGAAACTTCGGAAGAGGGAAAAATAGGGAAACTAAAGATGGCTTCATGAAGGAAGTGACAACTGTATTGGGCCTTAATGAACAGAGCCGGAGGAGGAGGAGGGGGAGGAGGTATTCCAAGAGGAGGAAGCAGCATAAATAAAGGCACAGAGGAGGGAAAGCTTAAGATGGGACCTGGAAATGGGAAGTTCCATTTGGCAGAAATAAAAGATAGAAAAGAAGGAATCGGAATGGAATGTTTAATCGGAATCAGACTACGGAAGAAAATTCTAGACTAAAATGTGTGGACTTTATTTAGTAGGCAGTGGAGAATCAATGAAGGCCACTGAGCGACGGAGTAATGTGAGCCTACGTGTGCATAAAGAAGACTGATCTGGCAGCAGTGTAAAGCGTTAAGACTTTGGAGATAAGGAAACAAACTAAGGGGTTATATTGGCGGTCAAAATAAAGGCCGTACGAGGGACAGTGTTGAAAGTGGAGAGCAAAGGATGGGTTAGGGAAATATTGCAGAGGTTAAAAAATAAACCATACTTGGGCACCAACTAGATGTGGAAGGAAAGAGGAATCAAAAATGTCTCAGAGTTTGAACCTAAGTGACACAGAGGATGATGACGACACCATTAACAGAAACAGGTTAGTCAGAAGGAAAAGGAGGTTTTAGGGAAAGTATAAGGAGTTCACTTTGGGAAATGTTGAAGTGAAGGTCGTCCAAGTGAAGACATCCAATAGCCAGTTAGCTGGAAATGCTAGTTTGGAATCTAGAAGAAATGCCAGGTTAGGAGATATGAATTTGACAATCATCTGTTTGGGGATGATAGATGAAGTTCTGACAGTATATTTGATCTCAGAGGGAAAGAATTCAGAAAAGAAATAGTGATATAACCTTTGAGAATACCCACATTTAGAAAGCAGGAGGAAGAGTCAAAAAAGGCATAGCCAGAGAGGTATGGAGAATAAGACCAATTCCACACCATAGGAGTCAAAGGTAGAAAAAAAAAATTTGAGGATATTCAAGTGTCAAATGCTACACAGAGGTAAAGGATGAAAATGGGGAAAAGTCTCTCAATTTGGTGACTAAGAGGGCACTGATAAACTTTGAGAAAGCAGTTTTAGTCAAATGCTGAATGTGAAATAGGTCAGTTTGCAAGGGTGGAGTGAGTGAGTGAGTTGTGAGAAAACAAAGGCAATGAGTGTAGACTACTCTTTAGAAAAGTATATCAGGGGAAAGAAAGAAGTATAATTCATGGGACCGTGAGAAAAGGGGATATAGTGGGGTCTGTGGAAAGCTTATTTAGGACAGAAGACACCTGACATGTCTGTTGATAAAAGGAAAGGTTTTAGTCATGAGGAAGAGACTGTAAAAATAAGAGGGAAGAAAAGCGATTGTTAGAGCAAGTTCCCAGAGGAGAAAATGGGAAGAAAAAATTGTAAAGGTATAAATAAGTTTTGACATATGGAGAGGGGGCTCACAATGGATGGTAATTTTTCCAATAAAATAGGTGGTAAGAACATCTCCTTAGACCAAGGTGGGAGTGGAAAAAGTGCTATAGGGAATTTAACAAGAAGTTGATGTGAGATGAATAAAAGGACTGTCAAGCAGTAATAAGGACTTACCTGAGATTAAACAACATAAACTTGTACTCAATCTCAGGCTGCATGTTTTCATGATTTTCTCCAGCAATGCTTAGCAGTCCAGAAGCAAAAGTTTAAAAGAATAGGAGTTACCCAAAGTTAAAGACTAAAAAGGCAGAAGGGTAAGAGAGAAAGGGGATTCCAGAGTACTAATGAGAGCATCATAGAAACAATTAATCATGGAGTCCGGGCAAAGTAAAGAAGCAAGCCAAAAAGACAGAGCTAATGAACCAAAAATGATAACAGGAAGGGGTCAAAAGCAAAGAATAAATTCCAACAGTCCCTTAAATTTAGGCAGGCATTGTTTAATTTTTTTTTTTATATCCCTACTACCCAGCATAGTGTCATGCACTCAGTAAGTACTTAATAAAGGCTTGCTGAATTGAATCAAAGGAATGGGATATAGGTGAATGGGCAAGAGGTCCTAAAAAGGAAGGAAGCAAGGAAGGAAGGAAGGAAGGAAGGAAGGAAGGAAGGCAGGCAAGACTTTATTAGGCATTTACCATGAGCTGGGCTAAACTCTGGAATTACAAGCAAAAAGGAAAACAGTACCTGCCCTCATGAAGCTTACATTCTAAGGGGAAAAGACAACACACAAAAGGGAACTGAAAGGGGGAAGAAAGGGCATGAAGGTGAAGCATAGTTTTTAAGTCTGGAAGTCAGGAACAATGGAAAGGGAATGAAGGCTGGCTTAGACCTCTCCACCAAGCAGAGGCCCCAGGAAAAACTCACCACTTGGAGAAGGGGGCAGGCTTCGCAGAAGGGAAAATTTCAGAGGTATAAATTCTGAAGGTAGAATAGTTCTAAATAAAAGAGTTGGCATATCACACAATAAAATCAAGTTAACAAAAATTTATTAACTTTCTCTGCTCTTTTTTCAGAGAATCCTACCTGCCCTTCAGCCTCCTCATCTTTTTCATTATTCCCTGTTATCCTCCCACTCCTTTTCTACATGCCAGGCACTAAGCCAAGCCCTACAGAGGTGGGGAACCTGTGGCGTCAAGGCCACATGCGGCCCTCTAGGTGGCCCTTTGACTGAATCCAAACTTCACAGAACAAATCCTCTTAATAAAAGGATTTGTCCTGTAAAATTTGGACTCAGTCAAAAGACCTCACCTGAGGACCTATAGGCCACATGTGGCCTTGAGGCCTGGCCTAGGAGAAACAAAGAAAGGTAAACATACAGTCTCTGCCCTCAAAGAGCTTCCATTCTAGTGGGGCAGACTACATGCAAACAACTAGGTGGTTAGAAGATACACAGAAAGAGTAGATGGAAAGCACTCAGACAGGAGAAGGCATGAGTAGTAAGGGGAACTAAGAAAGACCTCCTAGAGTAGGTGAAATCAGGAGAACTAAAAGGTAGAGGTGAAGAGGTAGAACATACCAAGTACAGAAAACGGGAGATGAAATACTATGTTCAAGAAACTGCAAGTAGGTCAGTATTGCTGGAATGAAGAGCACACAGAGAAGAGTGAAGTGTAAGAAGACCAGAAAGGTAAGGCAGATGGGACCAGGTTACAAAGAGCTTTAAATGCCAACAAAGGCATTTATCTTTGGTCTATTTTATTTTTACTTTAAACTCCAGGAGACAGTAGACTTAATTTTGCATAATTTTTACATAGTATGTACATGGTCATTTGAAAAAAAGTCTCTTATAGAAGGAGACAGA